CTACATCCAACTGTAATATAATCATGAAAATTATGAATGAGTTTTGTGAGCTTTCTGGTTTGAATATCAACTCCCATAAATCCAAGCTCTTTGTATCCCCTAACATTGATAGGAGGAATGCCAAAGAGTTCAGTACCTTGTGTGGTATTCCTCTTACCTCTGATTTAGGTAGATACCTGGGTGTTCCTGTTATCCATGGCAGGGTTAACAGGAGTCACTTTTCTAACATCTTGGAGAATATGCAAAAAAGGTTGGCTGGTTGGAAGAAAGCTATTACCCTATCCATGAATGGTAGAGCTACTCTCATCAAGTCTGCGGCCTCTACTATCTTTTCTTATTCTATGCAGACAATGCTTTTGCCATCACAAATTTGTAGTGATTGATAGGCTTAGCAAAAATTTCCTCTAGAGAGATACTATAGACAAGAAAAAAATACACCTTGTCAAATGGGATGTTGTGTGCAACATGAGGAAATATGGTGGCCTTGGGATTAAGAAAGCTAGAAATCAGAATCTAGCTCTGCTCTCGAAGCTAGACTGGAATCTGATTAGCCACAAAGACAGCTTGTGGTGTGAGGTTTTGAGGACTAAATACCTCAAAAATAATTCCTTCTTTAACTTGGAAAAAGCAAGGCATGTTTCTCATGTTTGGAGAGGTATTATGAAAACTAGGCGCATTTTAAGGAAATGTACGAAGTGGAAGGTTAGTGATGGCAACAGTGAGAATGTTTGGAAGGATTGGTGGTGTGGAAACAGTTCCTTTGAGGAATTTGTGTCTGGTACCACTCAAACTAACCATGCTATTGATAACCTTTTTACCAATTTGAGAGAGCTGCTAGGGGATAATGGGAATTGGGATGTTGACATTGTGAGATGTAACTTTCCCCCATGCCTAGCTGCCCCTATTCTAGGGACTCCACTCCCTGTTGACAATGGGCTGGACTTACCCTTATGGAAGGGGCCCCCTGGTGGAGAGTTCTCCATTTCATTTGTGCATAACTTGTTGTTGGGTTGTGAGAACATGGAGGAGGAATAGACATGGGTGTGGAAATTGAGATTACCTTAGAAACTGAAAGGTTTCCTGTGGACTGTTCTCCATGGGAAGCTTCTCACTAATCACATGCGACTGAGAAGAGGATTAACCAATAACCCTCAATGCCGCAGGTGTAACGGGGTTGAGGATATCAACCACCTATTTAGAGATTGTTATATGGCAAAAAAAGTGTGGCTCATTATTTTTGAGAAAAAGTGGTACTTGGATATGCTACAGAGGACTTGGATGGATTGGCTTAAGAGGAATGCTCAGAGCAAAACACACTTTTCTGACCAACTCTCTTTGTATTTTATTTTTGTGGTATCTCTATGGAAGATTTGGAAAAACAGAAATGGTTTTGTTTTTGAAAGAAAATCTATTAGTCCCCAAGAGAGTGCTAAATTCATCTTTGACTACTCTAGAACAATCCATCAAGCATTCCTCCAGCATGCTACACAACCCAGACCTTCATATAGACTCATTAACTGGTGCTTACCTCTTGCAGGAAGATTGAAACTCAACACTGATGGCAGCAGGAAACTCAGAGGAGATGGAGGCTTTGGTGGGCTGATTAAAGATGAACATAGAGCTTGGGTGTGTGGCTACTATGGCTGCTTGTAACTAGAGACAAGCCTAGAAGCTGAGCTTTGGGCTCTGTATAAGGGGCTCACAATCATTCTCCAAAAAGGCATGAACAATGTCATCATTGAAACAGATGCGATGCAAGTGGTTTAACTGATGAACGAGAAAATAGGTGACAACTGCCCATTCCCGAACTTGGTTGAGGATGCTAGAATTCTGCTCCGAGGCTGTCAATGCACCGTCCAACATGTATGGAAGGAAGGAAGGAAATCTTTGTGCTGATGCCTTGGCAAAATTTGGAGCTTAACAACCCGAAGACACGCTGGTAATGAATGAACCACCAGCTGAAATTCAAAGTCTGCTTGTCGCAGACATGATAGGTCTATCTAGGGAACGGGCCTAGTCCCCATTGTTTGCTTTATTTTCTGATGTACCCAAAAAAAAAAAAAAGATCTACTTAAAAATAGATTTGACCCAGGATTTGTATAATGGACTCAAATTATGCATTTATGTCCGATTATGACTTTAATTCTTATTCAGATTTAATTATGTGAATAAAAAAATTAGTTAATTATATTGACTTTCAATAAGGTTTGGTTTGTTTGGAGAGGTTTAGAGAAAATACACGAGTCTTGTAAGTTTGAAACAATTATATGGAACTCTTTTATACTGTATTTGGTTAGGAGATTTGAGAAGAGATTTGAAAAAGGAAATGAAAAAATTATGTGAAATGTGAATAAATATACCTATATTTTACATAATTTCACACGCTTTTTTCCTTTTCCTTTCCAAATCTCTCCCCAAATCCCCTAACCAAACACAGCATTAAGATTTTAATTGATATAACATACAATTTTATTTTTATTAAAAATTTATTAGTTATATAAATGAAAAATAATCACTCTGTTTGGTTTCAGTTTTCAAAATTCACTTTTCAGAAAATTTTATTTTTTCGTTTTTCGTATTTTTTTTGTTTTCACTGAATTTTTTTTAATATTTTAAGCAATTTTTTTAATTTTTAAACACATCTAACATAAATACACTTAAAAAAGTATAATATTTGTAAAAAAAATATTTAAAAAATTCACTAAATATCAAAAATATCAAAAAATAAAATAAAAATTCAGTATATTTTTCATATTTTCGTGTATTGATTAATTTTTTAAAATATTTTTTCACAAATATTTTACTATTTAGATACATCTAAGTAAGGTACATCTAAAAAATTTTAAAAAATTGTTTAACATTTTTAAAATATTCATTAAAAACAAAAAGTACAAAAAACATAAAATTTAATTTCTAGAAAATTAAATTCAGAAAACTGAAACCAAACACATTGAATATTGTCATATGTTTTATATTGAAACGTATGTTTTATATTGTGTGACTTTGTGTTTTTATACCATCTACATTAGTATTGGTCTTTTTTATTTTACTAAAAAAACATTAATATAATTATGTCAAAACTCTATAACTTGTTATATTTTCTTCAAATCTCAAAATAAGTATGTGTAATTTATTTAAAATTTTAAGTAAAAGTTGGGTAAGCACTTCTTTACTCTAGGGGTGTACAAAAAAAGGGGGTAAAAGTGGTAAATCGATCCAATCCAGTCTAAATAGCCAATTTTGATTTTTATTTGTTTCAATTCTAGTTTTGGTTCTAAAATTTGTGGAACCATTCAAATCGGTCTGATTCTCGATTCCAAATCTTTGGTTACAGTACCAAACAGAGCTGTAACATATTTATTTATTATTTTTTTATATTTTTATATGTAAAAATTATTATTAAAATATAAAAAGTCTCTTATAAGATTTGGACACTAGCCTTCATTGTAAAATTGGTAAATTCTAACCAACTTAACCAAATTAATTATCATTAATTTGTTTACTAACATAAAATATATATCATATTTATTGTTATATAAAATTTCTAGAATTGTAAAATCAAACTAAACTAAACTAAACCAATTTCTATGATTCAATTTTGGTACGATTTCACAATTTAACAGTTTGGTTACGATTCTAATTTTTCTAAAAACGATTCCTACAGGTCAATTCTTGATTTATTCTAAAATCGGATCAATTTAATCCATGTATATTCCTACTTTACTCATTTCATATGAAAGAGTTAAGATTTTGATTCGTATTATGGCCAAGATTTTGAATATAAAAAAAAAAAAAAACTCTCCCTTAAAAGAAGAGCACTCGGTTTATAAATCCAATTTTAAATTTTCTTTTCCTAAAAGTATACACTCTAAAATAATTTACTTATAAAGACAAGTTCTATAAAACGACCAAATTAGCCATGCATATAGGTTATACGGTGGAAAAAGAAAATCAAAGCTTACTTCTCTCTTCTCTCTCTCTCTTCATTTCCAGCACCAACACCATCGTCCTGACGCTACCGCCTCTGACACCACCTCCAACACCACCGTTGCCATCTCAACCACCCCTATCTTCTCTCTCTTCTCTCTTTCTCTTCATCTTCAACACCACCACCACCATCCTCCCCCTCCCCCCAACACCACCATGGCTGTCTCAACCGCTGACGATCTCGGATTTGTGATCTTCAATCTACTCTCTCCAATTTGGTCTCTGCCTCGATCCCAGATCATACATTACTACAAAAACGAGATAAAGATCACACTTTTTTTGTGTGATGTATGTTATTTAATCACACATTTTAAGTTTTATTAAAGTGTGATCTTTGGGAGTGTGATTAAAAGTGGTCATTTTTAATCACACTTTTTAAGTGTGATTAAAAAGATTTAGATCACATCTTTTAAGTGTGATTAAAAATATTTAGATCACACCTTTTAAGTGTGATTAAAAATATTTTGATCACATCTTTTAAGTGTGATTAAAAGTATTTAGATCACACCTTTTAAGTGTGATCTTTGGAAGTGTGATTAAAAAGGGTCATTTTTAATCACACTTTTTAAGTGTGATTAATAACATTTCGATCACACCTTTTAAGTGTGATTAAAAACATTTACATCACATCTTTTAAGTGTGAATAATAACATTCACTACTAAAAAAAATACTTTTTGCGACCATCACATGCCGTCACAAATAATAAAAATACAGTTGCAAAAGACTTTTTGCGACAGCTATTTTGCCATCGCAAAAAAAAATAAAAAAATAAAAAAAAAACACTTTTAGCGACCATAGTTTTACTGTCCCAAATAATTATTTATTAAAAAAAATCATATATGGGTTTGCTACAACAAAAAAATCAATTACAAGCACCAAACAATTTTTTGTAAATGAAAAATAACAAAATTAACAAATTAATTAAATTTATAATAGACATTATCCATTAATCATCTTTAAATACATTGTACTAAAAAATTCAAGTCTTCAAAAAAAAAAAAGAAAAAAAAAAGAAGAGCAACATAATCTTTGGCTCCCAACATCAACCGCTCGATCATATCAACTATTCCCTCAACAAAATCTGCAAAAACATATATCAAACTTGACTTGAAAATTTGATGCACTTAAATGTGTTAGTTTAGCTTAAAATAATCAAAATAAAACTATGTCAGTGACCTATCTCTATGGCGGATCAGTGATTTGCAACAAGAGTTTCAATTACCTTAAGAGCAACTTCAAGCTTAACTATGGGATCACTTAATTATGGCGTTCGGAATTATATAATAGTATTGTGGCGAGAGATTTCCCTAAGAACTCCACCATCACCACCACCTACAACCAAAACCTGCATCAAGTAATTCAATTAAATTTAGCACAAATACCTAACAAACAGAATAATTATAGATTGCATAAACATGAAGAGCAGAAGATAGCTAGCTCTACCAACAATGTTTTCCTCAATCATTGGCAACTTAAATTACAAGTTCTCTTTCTACTTGTAAATATGATGAATTGAGGCTGAGAGTACATAGAAATATTATTTGTTCACAATTTAACAATGAGACAAAAACAAGGTGAGTCTTATATTCAATTCTATAATTAAATTTGTCATACAATGCCTTCAATCTAATAGAAAGAGTAAATTTTGCACATAGAACTCAAATACTATTTTGTCTGAAATTCCTTGGGAAGAGTGTGCAACATAGTGATAATAAAAGAATGGTGCCACACAGCCTTGCCTCTAACGAAAGTCGAACCCTTAACCTCTCATACGTGAAAAGTAGGAAGTTGATGTTGTTGGGTTAGAAGACTGTTTGGCACATATAAAATAATTACTTAGAATCAAGAAATTTTGGAAAGAGGGTGATGAGTTTTTTCACCCAATTTAGAGTAATGCCCTGTTTCTAGTAATTAATGCAAGAAATTAGTGAGGTAGATATGACAAGTGATGTTGATGAGAAAGTGAAATGATGGTGAAATTGAAAAAAACATGAACGATTCAAAATGAAAGTTGTAGTAGAAGAAATTGAGGACATGGATCTGGGTTTATCAGAATTTTTTTTTTTCCGAAAGGTCTCTAAAACCATAATCAATGCTTTAGGTTTACCTAGATCCAAAAACTCAAGCCCAAGATAGGGAATGAGAGGCTTTGGTATAACTATAGTTGGATGTCCAGCATAGGCCATCAACAGAGGAAGAGCAGCAATTGATGGCAATAATAATTTCCTGTTCTTCAAAGTCAGAAAGACCTAGTTTAGCATTAACTTTGAATGCAGTAATGCAAAGAGAAAACAGTGCTCTTGAAATAAATGGGCCGATAAATCCAAAAAATATGATTGGAATACTCACACTCTCCAAGGGACATCGAGGACATCATCTACAAATCCAAGCAAAATCATGAAGCAGATGGATGCCAAAGCCGCATTGTACTCAACAAGCCATTGCACATATTAATAATCAACAGTTCAGTCTATCACTAGTTAGAGCAAATAATGTTCCTCACCTAACAATGCAGAAGAAAGAGGGTTGTAATACCCAAAAAATTACAAAGAGAAGACACAATTAAGGAGGAAAAATAGAAGTACAACACTTGTTACAACTTACAACATATGACACAGAAGTGCATAACAAACTCACACATCCTTACAATAAAGTACAATTGACAAAGCCAAAAAGAAAAGATGGTCACCATATACAATAAAGTAAATTACAAAATCATTAAAACTGGTAGCTAATAATTTTTTTTTCCCGGAAGTATATTAAGAAAGCATCAAGAGGGGATGCCACCCAATTCCCAATTCATGGAAAGGAATCTGCCAAAATGGGGTTGCTTTCCAACCATCTCATTGTAATAGGTAATTTACTAAAGCAACTTCTATTTATATAATTTTCCTTATATATAATATGGATAATTTGAATGTTCAATCCACCAAAGTCCAAATTAAAAGAGGACGATCTCATCATAGTGGAATGCACATGGTTCATAATTTTTTTTTTTTTTTAACTAGTGCTATGTACTCATATTTTTATTTTTACAAAGTTTGTAAAATTTTAATATATAGCATAGATTTAAATTTGTATAGTGTAACTCACACATAATAAATTCAATTCACATATGATGTTTTTCTAGGAAAATTGTCTGAGGCTCTGTTTGTATCAAAGATTTGAGGAATGACATGTAAAAGGAAAGAAAATAGGAAGGATATCAATTCTCAAATCCTTAATCCAAACATAGTCCTAGAAGTGTTCTAAGTTGTGCCATAATGTGAAGAATGAACCTCTTAGCGGCATGTTTCAAGCCATGACAGAGAGTTGTGGGATAGGCTTCAGAGCCAAGCATCACTTTTATTTCTCACGAGCAGAAACTGTACATAATGGGGCTGCGATGGGCCAAACGACTAGTCTGATCATTCATTACACAATCATTTCGCAGGAGACCATTTCCCTAGATGCATAACCCAATAGCACAAGAAAATGTTAAACACCAAAACATTTGAAAATATTCTTTTTTTTTTATGTTGAAAACATATCTGAACCGAATTAATCATGCCAGTAAAAGAGCCATTAAAAAACTAGATCTCAAAGGTTGACTCGGTTTGCACATTGTCTGGTCATTCTCGTGCACTCTCAAGTTTGTCCAAGTCTTACCATCCAGAGAACCCTAGGACTCAAGACAATAGGAACTCGCAACTTTGCTTGTCAAAAAACGCTGGCCCATGCCTCCAAATTTTGGATTAGCAGAAAAGCATAAATTATCCCTTAAATTCAAGCCTGAATTTTCGAAAGTAGTTCCCTATATTTTTATAACAATTGCAAGAGCATTGAAGAACAAAAAAATGGCAAGATTTAGATTCTTACAATTTCAGGGCACTCATAATCAATACCAGCAGCTTCAATCTTCTTACGCTTTTTTTGGTCACGTTTTAGGATTTCTTCCACCAGCTTCTTGTGCTCTTCCAATGTTCTTTCCTGAATAATCATCACAAGTAAATGGTTACTATCTCTTAAAAAATAACCACATCAAGATCAATAGTGAATGGCAGGTTTTCTTAATTTGCCTCATAAGCATCCAAGAATGATCGCCAGATGTCTGTATCTATATTCACACACCTTCTCATGTCGCTTCCTTTCAATTTGAACCCAGTCCACTGGCTTGTGCCATCGGCTAGGGCCTTTCCACCTTAAAAAAATAAAGTAAAACCATCAGCAATTCATTGGTGTCACAGAAACTAAATAATTTTACACAGAACAATTTTATTTATCTCCTCTATTTATTTACTTGATTTGATTCCTTATGTTTTTTTTTCTTGAAAATCTTATCATTTTCTACGATTATTATGGGAAACCACAATCTAACAAACTGCAACTGCTTCTGGGAAACCAAAATTTTGAAAATGCATTCCTTCACTAAAATTTATCATTCAATGAACATGAGTTACCTACACTGGCAAGAAGAATAAAAAGCAGTACAAGGTTCAAGTTTTCTTCCTGGAACAGCACTAAATTCCCCTGTTACAAACAAATATCGCCATTAGCCAATCAAATTGACGAATCGAAAACTGAGAACAACACAGACCAAATAAGGGTATAGTTTCAAAATTCAAACAAGTTATTTTGATAAACCAAAGTCATCAATGAGTCTTTTTCTAGGCTTTAGAACAAACAATTGGAGTGCTATAAATTTTCAAACTTTCTTCTACACCCAAGAAAATGGGAAAAAAAATAAGCAGAGAGACCTAAACCCAAGTTCTCCTACAAACTAAGCTCACACCATGTTAAATCACCAACTTGAGTTATAAATTGCATTTGTGATGAAAATAAATAAATTTACTTTCATGCATACATGTAAAATCTATATTTATTTGGGCATCATGTCCTAGTTTTTTAATAATTGACGCGTTCGCATGTTATAGCATGTCGTATCAATGTCCAACGTTCATATCCATTCTCTTTAGGGTGTAAGTGACATAGACACAAATCGAAGTTAACCAATACTTGATATTCAAAGCACAAAAAATTGAGTTGTGACAATTAGCGCATACTCAAAGATTCATGTTTTAACAACCAATTATCAACGAATTTAAAGATCAAATGACAAGCAATTACCTGACTTTCAGAGACAGATGATATTAGAGGAGCCAAACCACAATCTGAGACATGTACTACAAGCTCATCATCAAAACAACTTGGGATTAGGGAAATCTGTTTCAAAATAACACGAGATTAGTGATCAAACTCGTAGATCATACATAAATTTCTAAATCTACACATACATAACAAAGATCGGAAAATACAAATCAAAGCAAAACCATCATCAATATCTAAAATTAAAAGTAAATAAAAGAATATACAAATACTAGATTTGGGGATTTAAGATTTACTAATAATTATCATAAGCACATAAAACATACATAATCTCAATAAGAGGTATGATAGTACCTCTGCCAACATGTGGTTAGCTTCATCAAAAACAAGAATCTTCGAATAGTTCGTGCTCAATTTCTTTGTTGTCGCCCATTTATTGATTGTACCAGGAGTGCCAATCACTACTTGTGCTATCACTAGTGCTCGTTTTGAAATTGGAACATAATTGCTGCTATCCATTGGTATAGCACATTCAAAAGTAATTCCTGTATAATTCCCCATCTTCTTAAGAACTTCCATGTTCTGTATCATTGTCATCCACTACTATTAGTTAAATCCTAAACTCACAAACACTTTAGAGAAAAGTCCCAACAAAATGTGTACACATGATCCACTTGCTACCATTGATTAAATATTAAACTACATGTTAAAGAACACTGATCTTTAAACCCACCAGAGAACCATATATCATTAATTCATCCTTAGTTTCACAAACATTGCAAAACAGAACATAAGAGCATCTCCAGCAAGGCTAGTTAAAACATCATCACCACCATCAGTCCAATTAATGATATGATTAAAACATTATAGATGGGGAATTAAGATTAAATTTACCTTTCTAAAAGCTGCACCTTTTGCTTAGGTTTTGTCCCATAGATAACTTGAAAGGAGGAGCTAACAATCTCTTTTATGTGAGCTGATTGCAGAAGCCTCAAATCTCTCCTCACCTAACAATCTCTTCTTTGTGTACATAAAAAGGAAGGCTAAATAGGGAAACCCAGTGCATGAGGTTCCAGCTAATCACATTCTGTGTGTGTGTGTATGTGTTTGTAGTGTTGTGAAACACAAGTTAACAGTCCTTCACCTATGATTTATGGTTTCATCTAGAATGCTGCCATGACAGTACCCTTGGTAATATTAATCAATTTTCTCCTTGATCGTCCTTCTAGACAAGTTTTAAGATAAAGGCATGAAAGTGTATTTATCCAAGCATATAAAAATCAAAAGTCTCTACCTGATATTAATTATTAGTCATGTATTTACCTTCGCACAGGTACAGATGAACCGAAATCACAAAGCATGGAGTAGAATTACCAAAGAGGTGGAACAAATAAACAAATCTTTAACTGTGATTTGGGTAATAGTAAGCATCACTGTGTTAAAAAGCATATTGGGAAAGAACATAGAGGAGGAGATTGGTGTTAGGCAATAGCTCAAAGGTTAGAGTACTTGATAGTGCACCGAATTTAGAAGTAACGGTATTTTAAAAAGACAAGCCTCTACATCACTGCAGAAAAGAATTCAATGTAGTTCCAAGGCCCAATAATCATCTCAACTTTCAACTTTCGATCCTCCCTCCTAACTCTAGGTCAAACAAAAATCAATCCAAACTGTTTAGCACATACAAACATATATCTCAATACTCCCCATCCTTGCACGTTTATCTACTGAGTTGATTTGACTATCCTTATACTAAAAAAGCAACACAAATGAAATACCAAACATAAAACCATCTTAGAAGATACAACACCAAAAGATACAGATCAATCAAGCCCAACAATGCATGCACTACCAATGCCAAAAATTTGTCATCACTAGCAATGGAAGTCTTACAAACACATGAAAATTCAATTCATTCATGTACAAGTGATTAAGTAAGGCAAATGAATGCACAAATTCACAAGAACACGTCGATATACTCAGAGGATCACATTTGAAATTATTTCAATATTAACATTTTAGAACACCAGAAGCAACAAAATCGATCAACCAGTAATGCTTTGGTCCAATTACATGTCGCGACATAGAAAGGTTAGCTATTTCAATCTTTGATCAAATAGAAATTATGTACAGATTTGCATATGTTAACGAACCTGGATCGCCAATTCTCAGGTAGGGCAGATACAGAGCACCTGAGGAGCAGTGAGTTTGGGATCAACACAGCTCAACATGCCAGGCACGAAACAAGTAGTCTTGCCAGAACCATTGTGTGCCTGAGCGATCAAATGCTTGTAAGGAGGGGTCAAAATCATAGGCAAACTGATCGTCTGGATCTTACTCGGCCTCTCAAACTTCATCTCCACATATAAACCCTTCAACAGTCGATCGATCGATAGAGATGGAGGGGTAAAAAGAGACTAGGGTTTTTTGGTTTTGGGCGGGCGGCGGGGAACAGAGCGGGAATGGAAAAAAAAAGGGAGGGGGAGAAAAATCAAAATCTTTTTTTTTAAAAAAAAAATTAAAACAATAAAATAACACTGTTTAATTTATTTATTTTTTGCGATATGGGTTGTCGTCGCAAAAAAACTTTATTTTTTGTTAAAATAAATTTTTTTTAAAAAAATTATTTTATTTTGGTTACTAAGCTTGAAAATTTATTTGTTTCATTTTTTTTAATGAAAAAAAAATTATTATTATTTTTTATTTGGTAGAAGTAGGGGTAATATTTTAATGAAAAATATTGTAATTGTAGTCGTAGTGGTGAAGTGGCGACCGTGGTAGTAGTGGTGGTAGTGAAATGGCGTTTGTAGTAGTAGTGAAGGTGGTAGAGGAGATGGGTGGTGAGAGAGAAAGATAAGTGGGAGACAGATAGAGGAGAGAGAGAGAAAGACAGAGTGGTGAGCGAGAGAGAGACAAAGTGGTGCTAAAAGTGTATTTTCTTGTAGTGGATCGATAAATTGAGAGGGAGCTCAGTAAATAGAGAAGACGGAAGGGAAATAGTGAGCAACGCAAACACAATGGGGGAGAGAGAGAGAGAGAGAAATAGACAGACAGGGAGAGAAGAGTGATGAGTGAGAGAGAGAAAGAAAAGAAAGAAAGGAAGATGAAAAATAGGTGAAAAGATATATATATAGAGAAAGAGCGAAAAGAGATAAACGAGAGAGAGACAGAAAGAGATGAGCGAGAGAGCGAGAGAGAAAAGAGACAGAGAGAGAAGATAGATGAAAGAGATAGAGAGAAGAGAGATGGACGAGAGATACAGAGAAAAACAGAGAGGCAGACAGACAAAGAAAAGTGATGAATGAGAGAGAGAAAGAGAAGAGAGACAGAGACACAGAGCGAATGAGAGAGACGGACAGACAGAGAAGAGTGATGAGTGAGAGAGAGAGAAGAGAGAAGAGAGACAGAGACACATAGAGAAAGGGAGAGACAGACAGAGGAGATGGAGTGGCAGTAGTGGAGGAGAGGTAATGGTAGTAGTAGTGGTAGTAGTGGTAGTGGTGGTAGGGGAGTAGTGGCGATGATGGTAGTAATGGTAATCGTAGAGGTAGAGTGGCAACAGTGGTAGTAGTGGTAGTAGTGGAATGGCATTTGCAACAGTGGTAAATGTGGTAGAGGAGATGGGTGGTGAGAGGGAGAGATGAGTGAGAGACAGATAGAGAGACAGAGACAAAGTGATGAGCGAGAAAGAGACAAAGTGGTCTTTAAAAGTGCATTTTCTTGTAGTGGATCGATAAGAAAAATGCCCTAGACCCCCCCCACCCCCACTGTTTTCTGATTGGTTCAAAAAATTTTATTTATTTATTTATTTTCACTCTTGCTCTCACAGCCCCCCACGTGGAGGTAGGGGTGCTGGGGGTCACCCCTCACTGGGGGTCCCCAACATGGTTGGATTGATAAATCGAGAGGGAGCTCAATAAATAGAGAAGAGATGAAGGAGAGAGTGAGCAAGGCGAACACAGTGAGGGAGAGAGAGAGAGACAGACAGACAAACAGACAGGTAGACAGAGAAAGAGAAGAGTGATGAGCGAGAGACAGAGAGAGAAAGAGATAAAGATAGACAAAGTGAGAAAAAGATAGAAAGAAAGTGAGACAGAAAAAGAAAGAGAAACAAGAGATGAACAAGAGATAAACAAAAAGAGAGAGAAAGAAAGCGAAAAGAGATTAACGAGAGAGAGACATAGAAAAAAAAAAGAAAGAGAGAGAAGAGAGAAAAACGAGAGAGACAGAGAGATAGAGAGAGAGACAAAAAAAAGAGAGAAACAAAAGATGCTCGAGAGATAGACAAAGAGAGAGAGAGAGAGAGAGAGAGAGAGAATAGCAAAAAGAGATAAACGAGAAAGAGAGACAGAGAAAGAAGAGAGATGAACGAGAGACACAGAGAGAAAGAGAGACAGGAGAGAGAGAGAGAGAAGAGAGAAAAACGAGAGAGACAGAGAGATAGAGAGAGAGAGACAAAAAAAAAGAGAGAGACAAAAGATGCTCGAGAGATAGACAAAGAGAGAGAGAGAGAGAGAGAGAGAGAGAATAGCAAAAAGAGATAAACGAGAGAGAGAGACAGAGAAAGAAGAGAGATGAACAAGAGACACAGAGAGAAAGAGAGACAGACAGACAGAGAAGAGTGATGAGTGAGAGACAGAAAGAGAAGAGAGATAGAGACAGAGACATAAAGAAAGAGAGACAGACAGAAAAGAGTGATGCGTGAGAGAGAGAAAGAGAAGAGAGACAGAGACACAGAGAGAAAAAGAGAGAGAGACAGACAGACAGAGAAGAGTGATGAGTGAGAGAGAGAAAGAGAAGAGAGACAGAGATAGAGACAGAGAGACAGGAAGATGAAAAAATTGATGAAAAGAGAAATGTTATATCAAAAGAGTAAGACGACGTCGTTTTTTTCAATTTTTTTTTTATGATAGAAAAATACCATTGCATTTATTTAAACCATTTTGTAACTATATATATGAAGTCTCAAAAAGTCACATTTTTTTGCAACGACAAGTTGTGTCGTCTCAAAAAGGCATATTTTTCGCGACGGCAAGTTGTACCGTCTCAAAAAGTCACTTTTTTTTTTGCGAGACGGCAAGTCGTGCCGTCTCAAAAAGTCATATTTTTTACGACGGTAAATTGTGCCGTCTCAAAAGGTCACATTTTTTGCGACGGCAAGTTGTGCTGTCTCAAAAAGTCATATTTTTTGCGACGGCAAATTGTGCCGTCTCAAAAGGTTTCGTCTCATAAGCCCACTTTTCTTGTAATGTTACTTAAAAAGTGTAATTAAAAAGTAGTAGTGTATATATAATCACACTTTAAGTAAAAAAACGTGATTAAAAAATATATAAATAATCACACTTTAATTAGAATGTGTGATTAAAAAAAATATATATAATCACACTTACTTAAAAAGTGTGATTAAAAAGTAGTAGTGTATATACAATCACACTTTAATTAAAAAAGTATGATTAAAAAATATATAAATAATCACACTTGTTTAAAAAGTGTGATTAAAAAGTAATAGTGTATATATAATCACACTTTAATTAAAAGGTGTGATTAAAAAATATATAAATAATCACACTTTAATTAAAATGTGTGATTAAAAAATATATAAACAATCACACTTTAATTAGAATGTGTGATTAAAAAATATATATATAATCACACTTTGTTTCAAAAATGTGATTAAAAAGTAGTAGTGTATATATAATCATACTTTTAATTAGAAGGTGTGATTAAAAAATATATATATAATCACACTTAATTGAAAAGTGACATAAAAAATAAATATTATCACACTCAATCAATTTAAGTGTGATTAAAATATCAATATAATTTTTTTATCACACTTCCAATAAAAGTAAGATCTTTTTTTTTTGTCAAAATGTGATCTTTAACTATTTTTGTAATAGTGATGGTTGTTGTTGTTTGAGTTGAGAAGTTTTAGTGAGAGATAGTGATTGGCATTGGATAAAGATGGGGCACTGATCGGTGTTAAAACAAGAGTCACAGTTACAGTGGAGGTGGATGAGGCTTGAGTCCATTTACACAAAAGCAACAATAATGCTTACTATTATAATTAGTCTCTTTTTTCATTGTAGAATAGGAAGTTCATAAATATACATATATCTATTACATTATATATATTGTTTTTTCTTTTTGGGTTCATTGTTTAAACAAGAGTTTACAGTGGAGGTGGATAAGGCTTGGGTCCATTTATATATAAGAACACAAAAACAACAGTAGAACTTACTATTCTAATTAGTCTATTTTTTCATTGCAGAATAGGAAGTTTATATATATATATATATATATATATATTACATTGTGTATATATATATCTGTTTATTTATTTATTTATTTTGGTGCTTTGGATTTGAAACTATTCAATTCAGATTTGGACACATTTGATATGTGTGTGAGTGTGTTTTTTTTTTCTTTTTTCGGTTGATGTTGATGAAACAAATTGCAGATATATAGGTTGAATAGATAGATAGATTCAACAGATTCATATGATTGGTTTCACATAGAGAGAGAAAGTAGGTTCAACAGATTAGATACAAAAATTGAACAAATAGGTCAACAAATTCAACAACCAAAAAAAAAAGATCAAAATTTGAATAGATGTTTGATTACTCTGCAAAATTTGTACAGATCAAAATTATATAGATGAAAATTTGTGTAAATAAAATTTGGATAAAAAATTTGTACAGATAAAAAATTGGATAGGTAAAATTTGGACAAATAGAAAATTTGCACAAAAAAATTTGAATAGATAGACACAGATAGACAAAAAAATTGAACAGATAGATATAAATTTGAACAGATAGTTAACGAAAAGTCAAATAGATAAAAAAAAGTCAAAAGGTAAAATTATAAACAAATTATCATCTAGTACTTCTCACTAAACTATTTCACAAAGTATCTACCTCTCACTAATAAAAAAAATCACTGAAGTTAATACCTTAGACAATTGCTAGATTGAATTTTTTACCAATTTTCCCTTGAAAGAATTGGTAAGACTGATTTTATTATTAATTTCAGCCAGAGAATGAAAAGGATTTTAAGTGTTTTTTTTACTAAAGTTAAAACCTAGTTGGTATTTGAATAAAGATTAGAGAACTTATATTACGTGATTAAGGCTTCATTTAGCACCAACTATAATCATCTCATGCGGAAAACCAACTTCATTCAAGTCATCTGGTTTAAAATAAAAATAAAAAAAACTTCAAGTCATTTGGCACAATCATCCGGTGCCAAAAACCAACTTTAATTAGTAAAATAAAATAAAATTAAAAAAAACTAAACCAATCTATGTATGTGCCAAATCAAATAGCTTTTTATCAAACTCAAAAGGAAGCTTATGAGCTCTTTTAAGAAGACGATCTTTTAACCTATTTTGAATCGTATCATTTTTTTATATAAAAAAAAAAAAAGCCAAAAAAGAGTTTAAAAAACCAATTTTTAACTAATTTTTCAAAATAATCCTATATTTAAATGACACATTTAAACTATAAAATAGGCATGTCACATCCAAATCATAAACTAAGCTAATTTAGTTAATAAAATAATATTACATACAAATCATAATTATTTCACTTTTTCTCTCATAACTATCAAATCAATTACAAAAAAAAAAAAAAAAAAAATCTAAACACAATTTTTTTAACCAAGCTAAAATAATAATAAAAATTAAAAAATCAGACTAAATTAGCTCATCCCAAATGAGAGCTTAGACATCAAATTTTGAATAAATAATTCAAAACTGATAGGGGCCATAATGAGTCTTACCTCTCATGCAATAAAATAAATAAATAAAAATAAAAACATGCAACAGACTCGAATAATACCGGTGGCAGAGAATTTAAAATAGCAAGGCATCAAATATGCAAGTAAACACAGGGAACAAAGGGGTAAATGTGCAGATCAAAAACAACCATTCCACACTAATATTTTGATCATCATCATCATCAACATTGTTGCTTTGAAGTAATGCCAGTAAACAAAGTGAACCAAAACCAGAACCTAATATGACAAGCTAAAACTTGTAAGCAGTGTCAGCAAGAATACAAAGTTACATGGTGTCTATACTTTTGAAGTTACTATCAATGTACACAAATAACAAACACAATAATTCGGTGTCACCAACACGAAACAATCACAACAATTTTCCCTTCACATGCCTATCTCAAACTGACAACATCTCAAGAAGTCCTCCATTGCAGCTCAATTTGGATTCGTCCATTCTTTGAGTCTATGAGATTGTACTTCTCATTGATCCTTTTGTTGCTAACGACATCCGAAAGATTGATATCAACATACCCCAAAGATTCCTGATTCCAAAAAGATAAAACACGTAAGTTAATCACTCAAACCAATGCAGAAAGATATGGTAATAATAAACTGAATCGTTAAAATTTTAACACACTGATATTAGGGCAGTGGGCTTTGAATTAGGAGCACCCTGTTATAGAAACGGAAACGGTTCTTTGAACGATCATGACCGCCAGCAAACCAAAGAATACACTTCAATTTATCTTACAAATATTGTTTAAAACTTGTTTTAGGTAAAGGTATGTGACATGGCAGTTGTGGACCTCTGAGAAGATGATAGGCACTTCAATGGCCAAGGATCGCTGGAGGTGACGGAGTTTTAGGTAAAGGTATGTGACATGGCGGTTGTGGACCTCTAAGAAGATGATAGGCACTTCAATGGCCAAGGATCGCTGGAGGTGACGGAGGAGAAGACCAAGGCAGCCTTAGAGATAGTGCCTTGGACACAAATTCATTTTGGAGCTCAGCAGGCAGCCAGGGGCATCCATAATTGTGGTGTACATACCCCCGGCTCAAGTTTATATCTAAAAACCCAATTACTCCTGTGAGGACATCATGATGCCTCGGAAGTATACCATGCCATGTGGTGGGCGTGGTATAAGTTCTCACACTTGTCAAACTGAAGTGTTACTCCACCGACATTTCATATCACAGAAGAGTAGATCCAGGGAAATACTTCCACAAGACATGTGACGCTACCAATACATCTCAAGCGGGAAAAATAAATAAATAAAGTTCTTTGTTCAGCACATAAATGCAATTCTGGAAAATAAAGAAAATTGATTTCTTTCGGGAAGAAGTCCCAAATACTAATGTGCAGAAATCATTCAATTTGTTCGCTGCACAACAGTAATAAGCTTGGCAATTTTTATTCCCAGGAAACTTTGCCACCTCTACTGAAATTGCAGTCTCTTCTATACTTTGCCCAAATTGAATTCCAAGTTTTAACAATGAAGCGAGATGAGGTGTCAAAATGTGCTCCATGAACTATCTTCTAAAACCACACTTCTCTTCCAAATGCAGTGATACACTTTTAACATACACTTCTGTGAGAAACTATTGGTACCAGAAAGATTTGTACCTCTATTGCGTGTGATGGAGATAAAGTATACAGTTTGTACCTTGGGATGTAGTAATCCAATTCTTGATGAGGTGCTCTCAACCTCCACGTGAAGCTTGTCATTAATGGGAGGCTCATCAAGCATGAAGTGAAATTCCTCTTCCCATCTAGGATCTCTATTCTTCTTTATATGCTGTATGAATGAAAGATGTGAAGTCAATCTCTAGTCAAGATAAGCAAGTCCATTATTTTGGTGGAAGTCTAAATCTTATAACTTGTATCACTCGAAAAAATAAGAACAACATATCACTGAACTAAGAAACGCAGTTGAGCAGCCACTCGCTAATAGAACTACCACCACTGTAGTGACTGTACAGTGAAATGAGGAGTTCAAATAAAAAAGGCAGTAGCAAAACTTCTACATGTTTGCTCAGCAGTCACAGAAACAATTTTGGTATTTTTAGGTAAACAATGTGTCATCAAATTTGGAGTTTGGTTACAATCAGGTTTTACAGGTTTGAACATCCAAAAAGCTAGAAAGCACGGATACGGATACGAGGTACAGATATGATACGATACGGATACGGCGATACAGCAAAACCTAAAAAAGCAGGATACAGGTACGGCTAGGATACGTTTGTAAAAAATAAAAAATAAATAAATTATTAGCAGTGAGTTACACATAAGCTCAAGAGTGTTGAGAAACCACAGTAATTTTATAATGCAAAATACTAATCTTTAAGAATTAGGTATTAATTTAAGGCATTAGCTAATTTAGTTTTTAGATTTTCAATAGGTCTTGCAAATATTTCATTTCTATATCAAGTCTAATATGTTGATATTATAATATCAAAACAATCCACAACTTGACCCTATGCTTTTTTCTTTTGCACAAGTCAAAAATATTTTATGCAAGTTTATTTGCTTATTTATTTATTGATATTTAATTTTACTATTGTTATATCAACTTATTAATCCTTACTTCTATATAGTTATAGGGGACATGCATGATACAATGAAGATATGTCAATTTGATGAATTCTATTACTTTAGCTTACTATGTTATTTTTATAAAAAAAAACTAAGCAAAGTATTGTAAAATAATTCTATTTATCCTTACAATTATATTATATTATGATGTTATGCAAGAAATGATATAATTCTAATTTCGCAAAAGGAATAATATGTGACTTGGAGCATTTGATACTTCAAAATTAATTAAGAAGTATCCGATAATATGTGACTTGGAGCATCCGATACTTCAAAACTAGGTATCCGATACTTCAAAATTAATGAAAAATTAATTAAGAAGTATCCGATACTTTTAATAAGTATTTGATACGTATCCGTAATTATCCAAGGAGTATCGGTATCCGATACGGATACGATACGGATACGTCTTTCTATTTGAAGTATCCGTGCTTCATAAATCCAAAGTCAATATTTGTCGGTAATTCAATCTATCAATAAAAAGGATGCTCGCCTTTCAATTTTTGAAATGATTACGAGTATTGAAATAACACTTCCAACATAAAATAGGAGAAAATCTAGTTAGTCATATACCTTAGTTTTCTTCTCTTCCCCTCTAAAAAGGATACGCACATATGGATTGGTGTGATGCTTTCCTTCAACATCTTGTGCTTCGTGAACTATAATTACAAGCATGCCTCCACTAGAAGGTGTCCCTTCCGGAGCCTTGTCCACTGTATTTGAATCATCAAAATCTTTTGGTATGTCCTCCTCCTTAAAAGGTTTATACGTCAATTCCACTATGAGCTGCCCTCGTGACTTTTCATTTTGAACATCATTGGGATTCATATTCTTCAGTAGATCAAGAGTCATCACTTTTGGCTCATCAGGGGTAAGTTCCTTCAAAGGAACTACATTCATACCCATCTTCTCATGTTTGCCAACCTAGAACAAAGGATAAACAGCTTGAGAGCTAGGACATAAAAATAAGAGACAACTTCTAACCCACATTCTAACACTCCGTTTGTTTTGGCAAAAAACATTTTTCAACAGAAAACTTTTTCCCAGAAAATATTTTCCGTGGCAAAAGCTTTCCTACGTTTGGTTGTGTCTTTGAAATTAATGCACTGGTGGTGATGGAGTGGGGGAGGTGGCGGTGGTAGTGTAGTGACAATGGTAAGACTTTAGTCTGATTATCAAACAAAAAAAAAATGGTAAGACTTTAGTTTTCCAACTTTTAATAATGGAAAATATTTTCTGCACAAGTAAGTTTGTTTTCTATTGATTATGGAAAACGTTTTCCGTTGACTTTCATTTTCCGTTGTACCAAATTCCAGAAAATGCAGAAAATATTTTCCAGAAAATGTTTCCCGCCCAACAAATGAAGCGTAAATATATACCTGCTCCCAATCATAAACTTGAAGTTCTAAAGCCTGGGTCTCTGGATCTTTAACAACGAAATTAAATTCCTCATTCCATTCGGGGTTCAGATTCCTAGGCTTCACAGTAGTTTTCTTTGATGGAAGCTTATCCTCAGTGAGCTTTAGTTTTACATAAGGATCTGACGCACCAAGCAGATCTTTCTTTTTAAGCTTCATTGCACTCAGAACCTTCACATGGAGAATTCCTACAGGCCTCCTCATGGCTCTGCAAATTCAAAGTGGATTGCATCATTGAAAACACAAGTATGAAATCAAAAAGGCTATGTTTGGATCATGGATTTGAGTAAGGATTTGGAAAGGGAAAGGAAAAGGTGAGCGACACGTGAATGACATAAAAACTAAATTTTTTCCCCATTTTCCTTTCCCTTTCCAAATCTATGATCCAAACACAGCGTAAATGTGTGAAAACAAAGAATGGATTCAAAAGAATATACTTTGTTGGGTCCATGATTGGTACTTCTAGGGTTCTGGGCCACAGATACATGCTGGCAGCCTGGTCTTTGATAAGCTCCTGCAGAAATAAAGCCTCTTAAAATTCTTGAAACTTTAAGACTGAAATGCAGATAAAATGCTGAGAATGAGAGGGAAAACGCTTCCTAGTGGCTGGCAGGGGGGAAAAAAAAACAAAAGAGTTCCACCCTAAAATAGCACATATAACCCAACACGAGTCACAGACCGGCACCGTCCATCAGGTCCCAGAGTCTAACACAAGGAGAGACATGCACAGTCAGCTGCTGCGCATAAAATAGGACACAAAATAAGACCTGTCTACTTCACCATTGAATCACTAGAGCTATGTTTGGATCAATTTTTGAAACTGTTTTTTGAGTTTTTTTTTTTGTTTTTTTTCCTCATATTTTCGTCAATTTTTTTTCTAAATTTTAAATGCTTCTAATCTAGATACACCTAACAAGTAAACTATTTGTGAAGAAATCTGAAAACTTTCACTAAAGACAAAAAATAAACTTTTGTTCAGAGTTTGACAAATATTTTACCTTTTAGGTGCATCTAGAAAATAAGGGGGAAAAAAATATCAAAATATGAAAAAGTCCAACAAAGACAAAAAGGAAATAAAAACAAAAAAACTTGAAAACAATTTTCAAATATTAAATCGAATAAGGTGCATGTATCTAGATATTCCCCACACACACACACACAAAAAAAAAAAAAGAAGTAATATTTAGACACCAACATGTACTTTTTCTCGTTGAAGCCACTGATTAAGAGCTGTCGAAGGATTTATAAAACGACCTCTTTTAAGAAAATAAATTTTTGTTATCAATTATAGAGCCAAAATTAAACATCAAATAGTCTGTGTGTGTAAGGCACATGAAAAAAAGCTCCAGTCATTGATCTATTCAGAATGTTGTTCAGCTAGATATGTAAAATGTAATCAATTAGTTCACTACATCACATAACAAGTAACAAATTAGTAAATGAGGTTTTTTTGTTTTGTTTTGTTCACTACATCACATAAATTTTTGTTTTTTTCCCTTTAGCACAATGTAATCAATTATATATCTTCCATGATAATTACAATGAGATGGTAGAATATTCCCATTAAGTACATTGGGTTCTCGTGAACTTATGCTAGGCAAGAAAATGCAAGATTAGATGAGAGATAGCTGAGTGAATTACTCAATCTCTATATCAGAGTTAAAAGGAAGATACAAGACTCAAAGCACATTCACACAGAAAGTATAGCTATACTGAAGACCCCACATATGGTGTTGTGTAGAATTTAGGCATACATGTAACTGAACCCCCCATCCATTCATATTTCCTGAATGAATGCAAATTTCTACATGACATTCAGTGATCAATCCAACAATTTGTTTGTGAACACCACACCATTGCCTAAAAGACGTATGAAGGGCTCCGCTCAACTCAACAAAGCAAGTACTCCAATCCAACTATTTGCAGCCATTAGAAGAAATTTGGGATTTGTGTGTGCATGTGTGCTAAGAAGCACGTCAACAAGGAAATTTTTAGAAAATGGATGACAAGACACGTGGCGGACACGTGCAAAATATATAATTTTATATATTTATTATATAAGGATAAAATAAGTCAAAGGTAATAATTTTTAAAGTCTAAAGGAGAAGAATAAGTATAAAATTTACTTTGTTTTTGTTTTATCATTGGATTCAAAATTATTTTATTCAACTTTGTTGTGCGTCTAGGTGTTGGGGAAGTTTCCGATAAGTGTCCTATCTTGTCAGTGTCCAACACAATGTCTTACCTTCTTGGAAATGTCCGTGCTTCTTAGTGTGTGTGTTCGCGCACAAGTGTGTGTGTTGTGTGTGTGTGTTCGCACATGCGTGTGTGTGTTGTGTGTGTGTTGTGTGTGTGTGAGAGAGAGAGTAAAATAGGCCTAGAACTAGAGTTAAGTAATTATACCTGAACAAACCTGTACAGACCAGGCACTGACATAAGATCAGCCCCAAGGAACTTGAGTCCAAAGTCCACGTGCGGCTGCAAAGGCAAAAAGAAGAAGTAAAAGAATTCTCCAAATTGATGTCAAAGAAGTGAATAAAACATTAAGTGGCTGAATCCATTAAGACTCCTCTAATCCTTTGACCTAAATAGAAATTACCTCAACATTCAGATTACAGGTGAGGGAAAATTGTAATTTTTAAAGTTGAATGTTTTATCGTCATCCAATCAAAGAACTTTCGTATCTCAGCTATAATTAAAATGCCAGAGCCTCATCACCATACAATAGCAGGTGTGACTGATCAACATGCATACACAATCTCAAGCACTGAAGTCATTGCCAAACAAAGACAATAATAATAACTTTACCAGAAGAAGCACAAACCTTTTCCATAAGAGAGACATAGATTTTGGCAAAACAAGGAAAGCTCGGAACCAACGGCTTTAGGGTTATACGTGGTGCAGCAAATATTTGCAAATCCACCACCTGAAATTCTCCAGAAAATTATGAATTCACCACCCAGTACAGCCAGTGAAGACCTGTATGTGCATCTGTGTGTGGATTGGTGGTGAATTATTTTCCTTAAAATTACTAAAAAACAAAAACAATACCTGAATGCTTGCTTTCAAGCCAAATGCTTTTACTGCAAGAGCGACATTAGGATTTCCTGCCCATTTCAAGGATGGTTCCATAATCAACTCCTTCTCATCGGTGACATAGACCTTCATTCCTGAAAAACATGAGATTCGCAGAAAAATTAGTGCAAATTTTGTAAGGAAATTATCTACAGATTCTAAGTATCCACCAATGTAATTAATAAAATGAATATAATGTTGTGATATATTAGGGCCTCATCCTTTTCATAACAACTACAAGAAGGATGGATCAAGATGAGAAAATACACACAAAAAAAGCAGTGTCTAAGGATCTCATAATCAATGTAGAATTCCTCAATTAACTACAAGATGGGCAAACATTTAAAACCTCTCAAAGCTTAGATCCAAAATTTCAACAACATAAACCTTTATCAGTTTTATCAAGGACGCAACAATGCTGATAGAGAACTTGCATTTATAGACCAACTTCTAAAGGCCAAAAAAAGAAAAGGAAAAGAAAAGAAGCAACTATAAGCCCCTTTCATTTAGGGCTGCAAACAAGTTGAGCTCACCAAGCGGAGTTTTGGGGCATTCAAGCTCGGCTCACTAAAAATTAGTCGAGCCCGAGCTCAAAAGGACTTGAGTGGAGCTTTGTTCACTCTTTTTGTACATGATTGCACCCTTGGGTTGTTTTTGATCAATCTTCATAGTACAGGGCGACCAATCGAGACTCATCTCATCTTTTATTTTCCACAAAAGTGTTCAATGTTTCCACTCCACTCTACCTCCCCTTTTCTCTCATTTTGTTCGAGGTAGGCTTTCTCTCATTTTATTTGAGGCAAGCTTGCTCTCATCTAAAAGGTAGCCCTTTGGGACACACTATCTAAGATACACGCCTTAGCTATACTATAAAGATTTCTCCTCTTTCTTTATTTTCTAAGTATCTCTTCATCAAATTAATCCTGTTTAGCAGAGATGGTTGTTATGCACTTGTGATTTTTCAAGAGCAATAATTTAGATTTTAGATCATTTTTAGAGTAGGACCCACACGACTTTTTAGGTGGGCCGAAGTGGTGTTGTGTTCACCTCCATGAGCAGATTAACTACATATAATTGTTTGTTCAAAACCAAACCACTAAAGAGTGAATAAGAAATTAACTTCAAAAGTCATCGTGTGAACTTGTTTGAAAAATTGTAACTAGAGAGAGTTGTCCCACATTGATGAGATATTAAACTTTTGTGATTTTTATATACTCTAGCCTTGCACATCGGTTTTGTGAAGGTGGGAAGACCTAGCCAAATATGGGTTCACCACACACGTGCATGCTGCAGCACTGGCTCGGAGCCCCACACCACATTGAGCAAGGCCAGGCACGAGTGTGGGTTGAGGTTGGGGTTGGGTCATTAAAGTATATTCTTTTTTAACAAAATTTATTTAATTAATAATTTTAGTTTTTTTTATATATGTAAACAGTTATTTAAACCCAACCAATTCAAATGCATTGGACTTTGACTGTACAGTCACGTTTGATTTGTAGCATTTGTTCCCCATGGAAGGATGCATCTATTCACGGTTGTGGAGGGTCATCACCCTTCATAACAATGACAAATGGGTGTATATAAACAATCTCTCATTTCATTCATTCTGCATCAATATCATATCGTCTTCTTCTTCTATCTGCTTTCTGAGAGAGCGTACCTTGTTGGTTCACCAGACACATAAATTGAAGTGTTTCATTTGTGTTATAATTGATGGTTGTACCCTGGGAGGCAAACATCCATTCAACTCATAAGCAACGTTGTGAGGGGCAAATTTTTTCTTAAGGAAATTGCGTCAAACATAAGCCTCGATCTTCTCTATTTACTAAAAAGGTTTTTGTATGCAAGTTCTATTTCTGATTTTAATAACATCAATTGTTTTCTGTATGTGTTATTATTTAGTTACAGAATCACACACTAGTACACATAAGATTGTACAACACTAGCTTATCATTGAAACAAACCCAAAGGTGAACAGTAGCAATTCTTTTCCTGCTCTCCTTTCAATTGATTTAAAATGGTAATGTTTCCTTTTGCATGGAGAACAGTAGCAATTCTTTTCCTGCCTTCCAATAAGCGATAGTCTTAACTGTTTACATATATAAAAAAATAAAAACAAAAATAAAAATAAAAATTATTAATTAAATAAATTTTGTTAAAAAGGGGGCTTTGAGCCGCTGACCAAGCAGGTCAGCACCACACACGGCAATCACTGAGCCAAGCCAACACTTCCTAGGAATTGGGAGGAACATTTTTCTCAGGTGGTTCAGTCGAGACTATCCCATCCCATTTCCAATCATTGGCCTGTTCTGTTGGATAGTGGGGGGATTCGGAGTGGCCCGGTGCTGTTTCGGTTTGCGAATATGTGGCTGCAATCAGAAGGTTTTGTGGATAGAGTTCAAGCCTGGTGGGAGGGATATATTGTGTCGGGAGATCCTAGTAGACTGTTGGCCCAGAAATTGAAGCTTCTTAAGGCGGATTTGAGGAGATGGAATAAGGAGGTATTTGGTCATGTAAAAATTCAGAAGGCAAATCTTTTAGCCGTGCTACAAGGCCTAGATGGGAAAGAAGTTGAGGGGGGACTTGTCAGAGGAGGACTTAGCGGCTAGGGGAAAAAACTAGAAAGAAATATGGTCATGTAGCTCGCATAGAGGATATTAGTAGTCATCAGAGATCCAAATGTTTATGGAAAGGATGGGGATCGGAATACAAGGTTCTTTCACCGCATGGCGAATACTCAACGTCGGGCTAATCAGATAGGGAAGCTACGAGTCAATGGTGTGGTTTTATCTTCAGAGAAGGAGGTGAAGGGAGGTATAGTTAGTTTTTATCAACATTTATTTTGGGGGAATGGAGGTGACTGGATACTGAGCTTGGACGGGGTTCAGTTTGATGCCATTCTAGAGGCGAATAGGCAAATGCTGGAGAGACCGTTTTTAGAAGAGGAGGCGGTAGGGGCATTGTAGAGTATGACTGGGGGCAAGGCGCTAGGGCCTGATGGTTTCACTTTGCTTTTCTTTCAGCAGTGTTAGGGAGTGGTGGAGGCAAAGGTGATGGCTATGTTCGAGCAGTTCTATCAGAGAGGGCACTTTGAGAGGAGTCTTAATGCAACGTTTATTGCTCTAATTCCAAAGAAAGGAGGCGCAGAGGATATTAGAGATTTTCGACCTATTAGTTTGTTGGGAAGTGTATATGAGCTCTTGGTAAAAGTTTTGGCTAACAAGTTACGGGGCGTTTTGGAGGGCGTGGTATCAGTCTCAGAATGCTTTTGTGGGTGGATGGCAGATATTGGATGGTAGATATTGGATATTGTTCTGGTGGCTAATGAGTGTGTTGACTAGCGGATTCAGCAAGGGCAGACAGGTACTATTTGTAAATTAGATATTGAAAAGTCGTATGATAATGTGAGTTGGAAGTTTCTATTATATGTGTTGGAAAGGATGGGTTTTGGGAAGTTGTGGAAGAAGTGGATTCAGTTTTGCATTTCTACAGTTCGGATGTCGGTTATGATGAATGGGACACTAGAAGGTTTTTTCCCTATTTACAGGAGTTTGCAAGCAGGGAGATCCTTTGTCTCCTTCGTTGTTTATTTTGGTGATGGAGTCTTTAAGTCACTTGTTATCTATTGCGGTCCATGAAGCACAGGTACGGGTACGAGTACTGGTACTGGTACGATACGGGTACGCCGATATGGTAAAATTAAAAAAAAATAGGGTACGGGTACGGCTTGGTACGCTTGTAAAAAATATTTATTTTTAATTTAGAGTAATGCAAAAAATAATTAAATGGTTTAATTTGTTAAGGTCCAACCTATAATTAACATTTAATGCCAAAAGGAAAAGTATAAATCAAAATTAAATATCAATAGATTAAACAACTTACAAACCATAGTTTAATTTTAAAATCATACTAAGCATAAAACAAAAACTAAAAAAGAAATCTAGTGAAATGAGTTTTATCTCTGTAGTAGAAGGAAAATATTGTTTCAACTGAGGTACGGTACGGCTTGAATATATACTAGGTACGGCTTGGATATATACTAGGTACGTCAAAAATTAAGAAGAAAAAACTTGGATACGTGTTTCATGTACCCGGTACGTATGCAGAAGTACCATACGAGGTACGGTACGCCGGTAAGTATCCGGTACGGGTACGGCATGTTTTTCGGAGTACCCATACTTCATAGATTGCGGTTCATAGAGGTTTGTTGGCGGGCTTTGAGGTAGGCAGGGAGTATACTTCTAATTTGGTGGTATCTCATTTGTTTTATGTCAATGATGCCCTTATTTTTTGTAGTGTGTTTTTTTATGTTCTGAGGAAGCATTGGGACTTCGGGTAAATCTGGGCAAGTCGGAGATGATTCCGGTTGGGAAGGTGAAGTGATTATCGGTTCTAGCAACTATTTTGGGATGCAAAGTGACAGCTTTGCCCATTTCTTATTTGGGCTTACCTTTAGGTGCTTCTTTTAAGGAGAAGAGGGTATGGGATGGAGTGGTGGATTGGATGCAACGACGTTTGGCGGATTGGAAGAAGTAATATTTAGGGATTATTTGGGATGATCTAAATAAGTGCACTTTTTGACTTTTCACGAAAAAACGTAAAATATGGATTGAGTTTGAAGTGATATGCTAGAAAGATGATGTGATTTAAATAAGATGATGTGACTTAAATAGGATAATGACTTTTTAACTTTTTTAGATTATGCCAAACTAGGCCTTATTGAAAGGAGGGAGAATTACACTAATCAAGAGTGTGTCCTATCTAGTATTCCAACTTATTTCATGTCGGTCCATGTGATTCCTGCGTCAGTTGCGAAGAGGTTGGAAAAATTGCAACGGGATTTCTTATGGGGAGGAAGTGAAGAGGCTTTTCATTATCACTTAGTGGCTTGGGATTGAATTTGTGTTTCTAAGGCTATGGAGGGGTTAAGGATTCGGAGCTTAGTCCCGTTTAATCTGACTCTTCTAGGAAAGTGGTTGTGGCGGTATGCGATGGAGGAGTGGTTGTGGAGGAAAGTGGTGGGGCCAAAGTATGGGTTAGGTTAGAGGGGAGTGGTGTACAGGTGAGGCACAACAATCACATGGGTAGAGTTTGTGGAAGGAGATATGGTTAGGTCGGGAGGAGTTTTGAAAGAGGGTTTGTTTTCGGGTTGAGGTGGGGGTTCGAGTCAAGTTTTGGAAGGATAGGTGTTGTAGAGCAGAAACTCTGGCGGCGAAGTTTCCTTTGAATTTTTCGTATTGCTCTTAATGGGGAGGTGGTGGTGGCGTCTTATGCGCATATGCAAGGGCAGATGGTAGTTTGGAATGTTGGTTTGCGTCGTGAGGTGTAAAATTGGGAGTTGCAACAACTGGTGGATTTGTTGGGTTTTTTGTATGGCCTTTGGGTTTTTTTTTTTGGGGGGGGCTTGGGGAGGATTGGGTTGGGTATGCCCGAAGTCCAAAGGGGTTTTCCCGGTATTTTCTTTTTATCAGTCAATTGTGGGCAAGGATGGTGATCCATTTCCGTGGAAGAGTGTTTGGGTGATGGGTTGTCCGCCTAAAGTCGCTTTCTTTGTGTGGATAGTGGCTTTAGGGTGTATTCTAACTATTAATAACTTGATTCGTCGTTGTCATATTTTAGGTAATTGGTGTTGCATGTGCTATGGAGATGCGGAAACAGTGGACCATCAGCTTGTCCATTGTTCGGTTGCTTCTCATTTGTGGATGTCCATTATTTCTCTCTTTGGTTTGGTTTGGGTTCAACCACGATCAACGGTGGAGGTGTTGTAGAGTTAGGCTAGGGTGAGTTGGGAAGAGACATCGGAAGGCGTAGTTGCTTGTGGGCCATTATTTGATGTGATTGATTTGGTTGAAGTGGAATAGATGTACCTTCACTGGTGTGTTTGGTCAGTTCCATGGTTGGAACGGCGTTTGCTTACTATGCTACATAGCTGGAAAACAATTTCAGTAGATCCGGATGCGCTAACCCTTGTAGATTTTGTAGAGGATTTGATTAGTTAGTTGTTTTGGTTTTGCTCTCTCTTCGGGTAACTTGTCGGCTAGCCCTTTAGTTGGTTTTGTATTCGTTGCATGTTCTTGATACTCTTTTAATAAAGTTTGATTATTTATCAAAAAAATAAAATCTCAAGCAAACAGAGGATATGTATTATGCACATGCTAGAGTAAGAGGGCCTACCAACTTTATCATCATAAAGAAATAAACAAATAATAATCTATGTAGCATTTATCAAGATTTCAAACAAGCATTGTGCTGTAAGATACAAAGTTTCAAAGAAAGAAAGCAAACAACAAACAAGGTGCATCCATTTCACCAACCTTGGAAAGTAGGTGGAAGAGAACCCAGAGTAAATGTTTCAAATTCAACAGATTCAATTTTATACTTTGGAATCTGCTCAGCGATAATGGGTTTTGCAATATCCTTTGCAGTCTTGCATATTGCCTATGTGCAAAGAGCAACAGAAAATATATTTTAAAAAAAGGTAAAATGAAGCAATTACCCACAAGTAAGATTCAACCAACATTTGACAAAGAAAATACCTTGTCCAGATAAGGCCACATATACTCAATAAACTTGTTTAGCCAGTCAATCTTTGTAAGAACAAAAACAAAATAAAAAGTTGTCAAAACACAATGTAGTCAAGAACCAGAAACAACAATAGTTTTAGTAGATTATTAACTACATACACGATCATAGTCCGGATTTTTCACCCAAAGGGGTATCTCGGGAAGCAGCCGCTGCAAAGTACTCGAGTCTTGTTCAATCAATGGGCGAATAACAGGGTCCTGAACAAGCCAATAGTCAAAACCAATAAATATTCAGGCAACTGAGACTGGGAAAAGGAATGTTAAATTTTTACTTTCCACAAACCACAAACATGCAGCAAAGCCCAGCACTGTTGTCGGAAAATAAATAAAGGATTTAAATAAAGTTAGTATGTAGGCATGCTGAGTCCTCCCTCCTCAAGGGCAGCACACATGTATCAAATAATTGTGAATCTGTCAAACAAGTCTTGAACCTGCAATCTTTTGATCTAGCCGATTACATTACACGTGTGCCTTACTACATCATCCCTATTCTAGAAAAAGTTAACATGCATCATAGTGATATGTGATACAGTATCTACATCACAGGTATGTATGCTCTCCCATTAACAAACATCCTTGCAGTTCAATGATCACAATCAACAATCGGAGCTAAATTCAGCAGACTCAGCAAAAATCCTTGCAACTTTTCCTACTTTGAGTCGCATGTTGAGTCAAGTTTCAACCCAACAACTACTGGCTTGAGCAGCTGGAAACAATCTACCTAACGATGCTGATGCTGGCGGAGCCTGCTATACTAATGAAGATGAGAGAAACAAAAATGTTTGGGCTACTCATAAACTAAAGTATTACTAAACCACATTTCCAGATAATGATGATTATATACAATCAAAAGCAATATACAATATATCTATTCGATCATATAAAGCGTACATCCCATTTGTTGTGAACACTGAATGGTTTTTCTCATTCACCAAAGCACCCAAAATTGCAAAATGTCATCTTCATTCATCAAATTGCCCACAAATTTAAATGTAAAATTGCAAGCGCATCGTGTTTGCACACACTTGTGCTATATATATCCCCAAAATATACCATGCTATTTGGTTCCTGGCATTTTACCAGGAAAAGAAGAAAAATTAGAACATGTTTTGAAATGAGAATCCTATGAAATCTTAAATCCGTAATACCACTTCAAATTTTCAACCCCTTAAAATCCATTTAAAACATCAAATCCACCTCCCTCTTGATCCTAAGCATTTACCAGGAAAAGCAGAAAAATTTGAACATGTTTTGAAATGAGAATCCTCTGAAATCTTAAATCCGTAACACCACTTCAAATTTTCAACCCCTTAAAACCCATTTGAAACTTCAAATCCACCTTCCTCTTGATCCTAAGCATTTACTTAACCAACTAAAAATTGATATCAAGATCAGCGTAACAACAACGCATACATTTGATAAGCACTTTATCCGATCCAACAAAAACAAGAAGAATGAATTCAATAAGACAGGCAAGAACAATATAAGCTAATATGCATTACACACGTATAGAGAGATGGGAAGAGTGAGAGAGACCTTGACATCGCTAGGCTGGAAGTAGATGAAGAAGTAGTATCCAATGACGAGACCAGCAGAAACCCCAACTCCAAATCCCGTAAAACCCAGTATAGTACTGAAGAAACCCATCTCTAAATCTCTCTCAAATTCACACTGTTCTGTTCCCCCAATTCCCAGAAAACAAAATCAACCCTTTTCAGTTATCTGTGTCACCAAACCTACTTTTTCAAAACAAACCCAAATTGGTAAAGTTCCAGAGAAACAGTAGAGTACAGAAGAAACCCATACGCAAACAAATCTCTATCAAATTTACAAAAATTCACTCTGCTCTGATCCCAATTCCCAAACGAACCTTTGAGATCTCGCTGTCACCAATCTGCTTTCTTGAAAAACAAACCCAAATGGGCAAAGTTACAGACAAAACAGTTCTACAAGAAAAATGCTTTGTAAAGATACACTCGAGAGAGCGAAATGAAGCCAATTTTTTTTTAATTTTTAAATTAAATACGCGTTAACACGTCATTCTTTCGTACTTGTGTTTGGGGTAAATTACGATTTAACCCTAAATTTAGGACTCGTTTGAAAATTAATTAATTTTTTAATATTTTATGAGAGGATGTATAAAAAATTTTAAAAAATAATGTGATAATTTATAGTGATTTTTTATTTGTGAGCTAAAAACTCACTTTCCCAAACAAGGTCTTAATTATCTATAAATCTATATATTTTCTTATGCATAAATTTTAATGTTTATTACACTTTGTACTCTTAAACTATTGTCAAACTATAGTCTCGTTTGGAAACAAACTTTTTTAATAACTTTTTGAATTTTTAATTAAAATATGATGGAAACAAAAATTTGTATGTTTGTGATGACTTTTTGATTTTTTTAAAAAAGATGTGCAAAAATAAAGAGAAAAGGAAATCATTCACTGTGTTTGGTTTGAGTTTTCTAGATTAAGTTTTTTGAAAATTGACTTTTTTAGTTTTGTGTTTTTTTGTTTTTAGTGAATATTTTTTAAATTTTAAACATTTTTTTTACTTTTTTAGATACACCTTACTTAGATGTATCTAAAAAGTAAAAAATTTGTAAAAAAATATTTTTAAAAATTAATAAATACATAAAAATTTAAATTTTAAACATTTTTTTACTTTTTTAGATGCACCTTACTTAGATGTATCTAAAAAGTAAAAAATTTATGAAAAAATATTTTTAAAAATTAATAAATACATAAAAATACAAAAAATGTACTGAATTCTTGTATTTTTTTTTATATTTTTAGTATTTAGTGAATTTTTAAAAGATTTTTTTTATAATTTTTTTACCTTTTAGGTGTATTTATGTTAGGTGTGTCTAAAAAGTAAAAAAATTACTTAAAATATTAAAAAAATTAGTAAAAAAAAAAAACACGAAAAATAAGAAAGTAGAATTTTCTGAAAAGTGTTTTGGAAAACCAAGCAAGGTGATTGATTTTTTGGTATAGATTGTTGAATTTTTGATTTTTTAGTGACTTTTTGACTTTTAGACTAAAAAGTGATGTTGTCAAACAAGACCTTAGTCCATAAACAATTAATTGAGTCTACTAAGTCCCTAAAGTATATAAATCGAAATTTATTTAATCTTTAAACTATCAATTAAATCTATTAAATTTCTACAATATTAATTCAAACATATTTAGTACCTGAAAATTTATAAAATTAAAATATAAACCTATAAATATTATAAATTAGTAAATGATCCTATCTAATTAAAATTTTATTTCAAAAAAAACTTTAATTTTTATTCTATCTAGTGTGAACACACAACGAAATAAAACACATTTTAAAGAAAAACAATTTAAGATTTTTCTGTAATAAAATCTTAATTAGGTAAGATTTTTTACTAATCTATAATACTTATACACATATATTTTATTTTTATAATTCTTTCAAGGACTAAATATGTTTAAATTAAATACTTTAGGAACTTAATACATTCAATCGATAGTTTAGGGACTAAATAAACTTTAATTTATATACTTTAGGGACGGAATAAACTCAATCGATAGCTTAGAGACTAAGTAGACAATTTAATGATAGTTTAAAGGTAGAAAGTGTAATAAATCCTAAGTTTTAAAATGTATATCTTGTCTTAGGTGTTGTTTGGGATGCGCTATATAAGTGCAATTTTTGACTTTTTAGCTAAAAAGTAAAGGAAAAAATGATTGTTTGGGATAATTTTTTGAATTTTTATGAAAAAATGTGTATTAAAATATTATACAAAATTCTAAAATTACCTTCATACCCTTCTGAGTGGAGACATGCTTTCCGTGCATGTTAGTGAAGTTGTCAAACTCGAGACAGTGCACTGAGCTGCACTAGTTTTTTTGTTTTTTTTGTTTTTTTTTACCCATGAGCAGTGCAATTTTGTTTTTTTAATTATTGTGTTGAATTCAATAATGTCAAATTGGTGGCAGCCAAATAGTATAATTATTGATCTGCAATATGAAAAAAAATAGCAAATCAAAAATAAATAAATAAATTTTAAAAAGCCAAAAAAAATTAAAATGCGACAAATTAAATAAAAACGAGTGATGTGCTACTGTTGGGCAACAAATGTGCATTTTTTGGGGTTGCACTATGCTATAATGTTTTCAACATCTCATACTTTTTTGCGAATTTTTTTTTTTTGGTCCTCCTTTTCATATTCTCCTTAAGAAGATGAGACTTCACGCTACAAATATATTACCATAGTTGTCACGTGAAATATGCTCATACTTTTTTCATATTTTCTATGTTAATTTGTGGTCATAAACAATAATATATAAGTTTATAAATTATTTCAATAGTGTTACTAATGACAATGAAACAAAATTTCCAAAATCAGAACATACAAATGCAAACTTTTCAAAAGTTTTTTTTTAATTATTTTTATTATCTCAGAAATTTAAAAATACAATTACAATGTTAAAAGCCTGACGTGTTTACGAATTTTTGGTTGTTGATAATTACAATATTATTTTTAGTTGTTGATAATTTTGTACAACAAATTGTATTCTTCTAAGCTATGATGACGTATACAATTTTTTGTTTCAACAACATACATAAATTTTATACAATTGTAGACACTTCATTTTTTACCGTCCTCAAGACTTAGGCGTCATCGTTTGAACACTCGATGATTATCTATGCTCGTGTTCGTTTGGAGTTCCCGAAGGCCTCGACTACGCACCTTGCCTTAAGATCTCTCAACTTGACTGTTTTGTACTTGGTTGTGGACCAAGGACTTGTGGTTTTTGCACCTGAGGGTAGGAAGTGGCTTGTTGGCCATCCCCTTAACCCACCGGCCATAGCCTAAGGCCACCGGCCTTGTTTTCTTGCTATCGGCCAAGAGTGTTGGCCGATCGGCACTCTATTTGGTCGGCTGGCCTTTGTTTTCGTCGATCGGCCACATTTTTGGCCGAGGCCTTTCCTTTACCTTTTTCAAGCATTGTGCATGCCAGCTGTGCCAGCTGGTGAGCACAGACTCTGCCCTCCATACACGTATATGGAGGGATTTGAACCAACACTTAACTTCTCTTGGAAGCTTTGAATTGGACTTCCTATAAAAGGAGAGTCTCCCTCCCTTTCCAGAGGTTCATCCAACTGATATAGAAGATATATATCACTCTCTCTCTTTATAGTTGTGTGTGTAATAGTGTTCTAAAGGGTGTTCTTGTTCATATTTTTGCACTAAAGCACCTAGTGGTACACTATCCCTTAGTTACTGAGGTGCTAAGGAGTTGATTTCAAAGTTTTTGGGTTGGTTTTGACCAAAAGGATGTGCTGGAGTTGGTGTTCTTGAAGTGCTCTTTAAGGGTGAGAAACTACTCTTTTATTCCCCATTTTTGCTTAAGCTTTTAACAATACTTGCATACTATTTTAAGCTTAGTGTCCAACTAAAAAAAGTTCTATTTTTATATGCTAAATATGTTTGTTTAAGGTTACTTTTGGGTTGGGGGTTGTCTACCCCCTCTTAGGCCTTGTTTGGCCTTATTTTGTGACTTTCTTTTTGAGCTTTGAAACCTTCTTGTTTTGACCTTCTCACCACTAAAATTCAGAGTATTTTCAGTGGTGGAGAAGTGGTTTTGAGGCCTTGAATAGGGGAGGGACACCCCCTCCATTTGTGTCTCATTTACTTGCATTGTTGGCTTGCATTGTTGGCTTGCCATTGTAGCATGTTTGCTTAGCATGTTTTGGCCTCATTTCAACAAGTATTTGGTGTTATCTTGGCATGATATACCTCTATTTTAAGCTATTTTATTGGTCTCTTGCATGCACCATGTACTTGCCTTGTAATCCCTTCTATTGCCTTAACATGTATCTTGCATTTGGACCATCATGCTTGCATATTTCGGCTCAACTCCAAGGAACTTTTAGTCATGTTTCACCATGTTTAAGCTCTGTTTGGTGTTGATTTGATCATATATGCATTGCTTTGTATAGCTTTAGTTCATCCTAGCTTGTTAAACGTTATGCACCAAATTGCTAGCATGCATTATTTTGACTATTCTCATGATTTGACATCATTTGAAATCACATTTCAATCCATGTAGTGTAGCCACACACTTATGTTTGCCATCTTTTCAATGCTTTGAAGAATTGTTGTTTTGTGCCTTAAGATTGGGTCATTGTGTATGTTTCCATGATTAGGTCTTTAGGATGCCATCTCATTGGGTTTGGAGGCTTATTTTGACATATTATAACTCTCTTTTTCATTGCATAATTCATGTCGTGTTTGGTTGTGATAGACGTAGTGTAATGCTCCCTTTGTAGCCTTGCATGCCCCTTGTTTGTGCCCACCTTTTTAGCATGTTTTGGCCTCATTCCGTGCATGTTCTAGCCTTGTTTTGGCCTACCCTAGGACTGTCTTAGGTCACTTTGGCCCTTTGGGGCTTGGTTGATATGGCCATGGTGAAAGCCCCTTGACTAGCTTTGGGCATTGAGCCCATTAGCATGCTATACTTCACTTGTGTATATGATTTGGCATCATTCTTCACATGATTTCAGAGCTCATTGCATTGTCATTTTCTCATGTTTATCCCATTTTACTCTTGGTTGAGGATTGTGCATCGTTGCCCAGCTTGCGGATCCATGTATGTGCATACATGTCTCCATTTTTGGTACCTTGATTTGGGTGTTTTGGCTACTGTTTTTGGTGCGGCTGAGGTTTATCCATCTTTAGTGTAAGTCCATGGATCATGCATTTGTGTATTGTTGTATGCTTATCACATTGCATGTTGTTGCATCCTTACGGTTGGTGTCATTGTTGCATACCTATCACCTTGTGTATTTCCATATCTAGGTTGCATTGTAGTATTGTATACTTGTTGTATTGCCATGCTTTGCATTACATTGCACTTGGCATGCTCATGTTACATTACCTTACATTCCCATGTTGCATTGTGCTTGGGTTGCATGCATTGCATTGTGTTTGGTT